TATCTCATCAACTTCTTATTTACAAATTACAATCTTTTGGCTTTCATTCAATTTTATTCCGTTGATTTAATTCTTATTTTAGCAATCGTTATCAAAGGGTTGTTATAGAAGGGTGTAATTCAGATTGGCTTCCCGTTGTCTCCGGAGTTCCTCATGGCTCCATACTTGGGCTGTTTTTGTTTCTTTTGTATATTAATGACTTGCCCAGCTCTGTCCACCACTCCATTCTGGCAATGTTTGCTGATGATTCCAAGTGTTTAAAAAAAATCAAGAATATGTCTGAATGTAATAATTAGCAAAACGACATTATAAAACACGTAAACCTACTAAGGGGGTCATCCATAACTTTCAAAATTTTCAAAAGAGTACAAACAATACTCTTCTCAGTGACCCCTCCCTCTCCCTGAAAGACTACACAAAAAAAAAAAAATGATAATTTGTGTCATTTTCAGATCAACATTTTATCTTTTTTATAAAAGGGTACTTATGCCTACTCTTGATGTGTAGATATATAAAGGTTGCAATAAAATAGATTTTTTAAAATTTGACATTCCAGCATGTTTTGGCCATTTCCTCTGAAACACGATTTGCGACAAGTGACTTGTTTGGCTTGTCTTTGCCACATATGTTTTGTACTCTTTTGAAAATGTTGATAATTATGGATGCCCCATAATTATCTTCTTATGAATGAAAACAAATAGCTACTCTGGAAACCTTACTTTGTTCAATTGATAATTATGTTAATGCCTGCACATACTACTTTATACAACTTTATATACTGTAATCACAAACTCAAATACCTAGAGTGCTACTTTGCTCCACTCATGACAATACTCACATGCCTATCATACTGAATAAGCTCCTTATCATGACACTCAAAATACCCAGACCATATTTAACTCTCCCTCATAGTGACACCTAAATGCCTACACATACTAAAGTATCTCCTTATAGACACTGAAATATGAATGTATGCTTAAACACCTACACATATACTAACTTAATTCATATAACGAAATCCAAATACCTTGAACGCTACTTAGCACGCCTGATAATGAAGCTCGAATGCCTAAAGATACTAAAGTAACTGGAACCAAATAGCTAAAATGCATACTTATCGCTCTCCTTGTAATGATGCTCAAACACCTAAAAATACTACATACTAATTTCAGTACCTCTTTACAACACTTAAATACCTAGAAGTCATACTTAGTTCCCCTCATGATGACACTCAATTTCCTACACCAGTACAAAGTACTTCCTTATAAAGACAATCAAATATCTGGGTACACTAATACAGTAGCTCCCCTCATGATGATAGTCAAATTCCTACATACTCTAAAGTACCTCCTTATATAATGACACTTAAATACTCCCTCATGACACTCAACTCAAATGCCTATGAAGTAGACACTAGCAAGTTCCCCTCATATTGGTACTCAAATACCCAATAGAGAAAATTTCCTTTCCAATGACGATGAAATAGATAGAACACCTACTCGGCTGTCAGTAATGCTCTATAGATGGTAATTACAGTACAGATAACAACATTTTCCTACGCGTAGGCTTCATAAGCTACGCTTAGGATTAACTTAGTCTACGCTTAGCATTTACTACACGTAGGCAAAACCTAGGATTTGCACACGCATTTGGAGTGTTACACCGCACCTGGCATTCGTACGTAGCTAGCTAGGATATCGTCATCTCTACAGAGGGTAAATACCGGCCATCAAATGAAGGTCAGATATCAATGAACAAACTCGCGCAAATCAAAGTTTGTAAGCAGATATTAATAGTGACAATTACTGTATTAAAATTATCACAATCTAGCCTTCCGAATCATCATTCATAGTACCAGTCTTGACCTGGACCAGCTGGAGTAGTATATAGTAAAGTAAAAAGGCCTAGGTCGTTGGCCTATTTAAGCAATGCTCAGGCCTACCTACATGCCTGTCCTGGTTAAAAAGTTATTTAGGGCGCCTAAACAACCCAAGATATATTGCTGTGGTATTATTAATTAAATAATACCGATCAACATATTTTATTCAGCTAATAATATTTCTCCATACATCAAAATTAATAATAATATTGAAGGAAGGAATTTTTTTGATTACAAAACGCTGACTTTCTGTAATGAGCACCTAGTCACGTTGCATGGAAGGGAGAATGCAATGTAAATCATTGGGTGTTTACTTGCAGCTAGAGAAGAGAGCTAGCTGGGATCGGAGTGATGAGAACTTGCAAAGGGCAATGACCGGCAGCATTGCCTACACGTTATCTACACGTAGGTACGCGTGTTACAAAAGCAGTAATTTTTATCTGTACTGTATTTACGAGAGTATGGTAATTATCATATTAGCAATAACATAATATAGTTCTACATTTGATTTTGAAGTACAGTATAGTCAGGAAATATCGCTTTGTATCTGCGCGTAACCACTCGTAGCCTGCTCGTAGGTACCATTTGGAACGTAGCTACGAACCACTACAAAGGTCATTGTTATTTTAATTAGCTTTGCAATGATCGTAGGCTGGATCGTCGGGCTGATAATCAATGCGTAAACAATATTGAAATATAGTTTACCAGCTTTCAACACGTAAGCAATGTTGCAATTTACTAAATAAACAATGTTAGAACTTTATTGTTTTGTCATATCCTACCTTATTATTAAATCGATCATGTTTTAAAACTGTGTTTAGTTCGCTAGCTGGGTGGGTACCCTAGTGGGCATTCAATATGTTCGAATTTCGATGTAATTTAGGCTTACGTACAGCCTACATTTTCCCCTATAGAGGAGGAGAGCAGACAGTAGTTATACTGGTAAACTTTCCAATTCGTAGAATTTTGATCTGATATTATTCTTCTGGTAGTAGGAATTTTCTTCTTATAATAATACTGATGACAAATCATGTACAAATTTTTACGATTTCTACAGATCACGTTGTTTATTGTTTACCGTAATTTGAAGCAGAACAACCTGCAAAGCGATCCAATACTAAATGGAAGTATAGAAATCACTACCTTGCCGAATTAAGGCTAGTCATGCTAGACCGCATTTACTCCGTTTTTTACTCACTGTTGCTCACAGCTTTTCAACATTTGCCACGAGGTTAACCTTTAACACATTTTACTGTGTTCTGATTGGTGCGCACTCGACGTCTAATGCTGGCTAAGTTTTATTTTCCATTGGGTTTTCCA